GAAAATACAAGCCATGCGTCCGAACAATGAGTTCTTACCTGCTGGCTCTAATTGTTCAACAGAGGCTTGCGTTCCCCGTATGAAAGTGCTGCAGTTCCCGAGTCACTTTTGATCAAAACCTGGCAACGTTTTTATTAAAGGGAAGGCGTGGCCCGCCTGCAGTCTACATCTTAAGCCGGAGGTCGAAAAGCAATTTGAGAAAACATGAATTGTAAAGGAAGTCGAGGCCACCCCAGAAGCGAAGGTGGCTGTCTCTCGACAGGGACGTATTCCAGAACCTCATAGAAAGCACGTATCCTACTTACAAAGCGAAACTGCACTGAATAAGCTGCAAAACCCCAGGCTATATACACAAAAACATTAAATACTAACTTTCTGCCTTCGTTGGTAATAATCTTCCCAATTATTAACTCCTTCTATGACGACAGTTACTTTCTATAGCGTGGTTTGTTTTAACCAAAATCAATTTTTCCCAGTGAGGATCTACTGAAAAATCACTACTATAGGGAAAACTAATAACAGAATCCACAGGGTAAACTCCCACCTATTTTCGGGATCTGAAATGACGAAAGTTTTGACCAGAGAGAATCGCCTTCAATGAATTGTAGAACATGCCCTAACAGCTCCATTCTTCCCCCTTCTGTGCTCAAACGCGCATTCGCCTTAAGAACAACATTTTAACTGCTGGTGAACTATAGCCCTCCGACCAACAGTAGTTTACATGTTACCAAAACATCTTCACTGCTCCCTCCTATTTTATCTTCTTTTCTGGGTGGTATTGGTGCAGTAGTTTAGCCGCTATCACCAGCGTGCTTTGGATCCTATGGTCTGAAGTTCAAGCCCCGCCACCGCCACCCACCTTTTGTGGTAGGCAGCTTTGCTGTCGTCCGGTCCAATACCACACCTAACCCAGCAAGGCCTTATGTGGTTCGCCACATCAAGTCTCGGGGGCTAAGGCTACCGGTTTCTATCACTAAAAAGTCGATCTTCGTGACTATCTGGTCCAACCCAACTGCTGCTCGTCACATAAAATATGTCATGCAATGTTTTTTTCTATTGTCTGCATATGTTCATTCTCTGTGAGATTTCTATATACGGATTATGCAATGCTTGTCCTATGCTACTTCAGTCCATCATCTCAAACTATACTGTAATGAGGGAAATTTTGGGTTAGGCTAAAACACGGTAAATCTGAATGAACCCCCAAAAGGTCTGTGACAACCCACGGTAGCAAGATTCACTCAAACAATCTAAACATGACTGACGTGAAGGTGATGGGAAGGTACTTTACAGCCTCTTTGCGGGGAGGGGGACGTGAGTTATTTTGGACGGTCTCTCAATGTCGGAAAAATTGCCGCTTATTATACACACATTGGATAGGTCAATGAGTGGAATTGAAAGAATCAACACATCTACTCCAAGTATCGCAGACGATATTTCATCCGCACCATAAACGTCATTTAACTTAATTTTCTGCGAGTGATTTCAATAACTGGGGATAGCATAGAATGATTAAAGTTGGGTAGACGCGTACGCTGTGAAACGGCGTTGAACTCAGAACTCAGTCTTCAATATAGACAGTTTACATTTGGGTTAATTGGTACTACCACAAGGGTGCTTCATGACTCTTCGCATGTTACAACAACTGATGTTCCCCAAGATGGTATCTAGGTGCAATTTGTTTTAACGATCGATTTCAGGTTTGGTCAGCATTGTAGGTCTCCTGACCTGGATTATCTGATCATGTTTATAAACCTATTCTTTCTGTCTGGGTAGCTGAAAATGATGAATATCTATCCTTCACGATAGAGACCGTTTCAAACGGACAACACTAAATAATTTGTGCATCAACTCTCGTATAAAATTGTACCAAATTTCGTGAACCAATTGTGGTGAGGAAAGTCACATCATGTCTATGAAGATCGCCAACAAATATACAAAAAGTTAGTCACATTTTCGCGTTATCCTGGCATAACATGGAATGTGTTTGGTTCACATGCCAATTCATCGGGGGCCAGGAAAATGTTCCCAGAAACATGGAACGAGATTCACATATGCCATGAGGCTGACAAAGAATGGCGTGATAACTAATCTTATCCGTCGAGTACTCTAAAACCAATGCAGATTATTTACTCTAGTTGTCATATACAAAATTGAGGACACCTCGTTTATAGATGCTCATAAAACAGTCAAACCCATACCAATTGAAACCATTCATATGTACACTTTCACTGGGAATTTATGTGTGCAAATACTCATCTCCAGCTTTAGTACTCCTTTCTTCTATGAAACCTGCTCCTTCGTCTATTTGAACCCTCAAAAATAGAAAATGGCTCGTTAAGATTTGAGAAATTTGCATTTTTCTGGAACGGCATTGTGCGAAACCGACTTGCCAAACTATGCGATCTTTTCTTCATCTGTCAACTGGTTTTCTGTTAATCGGCTCAAACGTGTCTTAATTTGTTAGAATTCATTAAATCAGCGGTTTTTGAGGCAATACGTAGAGATTCCTAATTTGCTTGTTTGAGATTTCAATGGTGCCCTTCAAAATGGTTACTGTGTTCACAAAAATGGTGTAGCATGTTGTTAGAGTGAAATGCCTATATGGACAGCATTGTCCCTAATCACTAATACCTACCGGTCCTTAGTCGGCAAAATATGTCACCGTTTGGCACATTCTCCTAAATTATTTTCTTGTCCAGAGAGCGGTTTGTGGGTAACTACTTGTTCACTCAACCTCAGTCCGATTTCATAAAAATTCACGGGTGTACATGCAGTTCAATTTTGGCTCGACGGGAACAAAGGGGGATGATTGACTGTGTTGTCTATCTGGCCTGACTGTCACTGACGATGACAATAAGCCAAAAATGATTTGGCAATTTACTTCCACCCCGGTTTGAGTCTGTCGGCCCAGTGGTAACACCCACGTATTCCATGCGATTGGTTCGGAGTTCAAAGCCCGGACAGAACGGTGGATATGCACAACTGACGAGATCTAATAAGAGCAAGATTAAAGTCTAGTTATTCCGGGTGTATGGTTGACTAGAAGAACCGAGGATTGTGCGTGAAGATGAAGTCCGGAGGACGATCACCTCAATTCAATACATAGGGTTCAACTTTAGAGAAAATTGTATTAGATGCAACCAGTTCCCTTTAACAATTTCATGAGAGCAAGAAGAATCATCAGGATTAGATCCTATGATCATGATGCTTATTCTTGCGCTCATAAAAAAATGTATTAATGGCAGGAAATAAAACGTCCAGGAGTGTTTAACAATGCTCCCGGTGGGAATGTTATCGTGCCCTACCGTACATAATTAAACTATTATTAATGGGGATGAACCGAAAAACGTTGTCATCTAAGTTGGGAAACGTTAAAGTGTTGGGATTGGTCGATGAGTTCTAACAGTAGTGAAACCATGTTCTCTTGACTCATATGTACATTGTTTGCTGAAGCAAAAGGAGTTGTGGAAGTAAAATTTGGAGCCGGGATTTTCACTAAAATCAATGGTATTGATAAAACTTCCTTGTGTACAGAGCAAACAAAGCATGAATTGAAAAGCTCTGAGTCACTGCTTGTGTCTGGTTCGTTATTGTCTACAGCCTATATCTGTCGGACCAGTACAACAAAATTCATGGTAAAGTCGAGTTATATCCTTTACTACACAAGTATAACAAGCAATCAGGTTCGGTATAGTTTCAACCGAGTCATTACCCAATAAGATGGTGCTGAAATGAGAGCCGTCAAGCACCAGTGACAAACTGACAACGATAATTCGGGCTAAATTGAAAATAGATGAAATTATACATTATCTGATCAGCTGTCTGGTGTTTAAGTATGCTTGCTTTCTGACTGTGAGGTTCGAGTTTGATTCTCAGTTTGGCCTATCGATTAGCATAGCTAATATGTAAGTGTTTTGAGGAACTCTCAGAAGTTAGCGTCAATGAGGAGCTTGGCATTGTTATAATTAGATCTACTTAGGAAAATATCAGCGCAACATGGTTTCATAGTTTATATTTGATTTCGGCATCTCATGCAAATCATGCTTTTAGGCTAAACTGATGGGTATTTTTGTTGTACGAGACTCAGTTTGGCACAGCAATCCGAACTTTGGCTGTGCATCAGTCGTTCGAAAGAAACAGCTGAGCATGCTTTGGGTGACAGCTCACATACCAACATACCCGCTTGTCATTTAAAGCATCCGGTCATCTAAAAGGTTTTTCACCTAAGCAAATATCAGACTGACAATTTAGCCGTCGAATAAAAAGGAGTGGATCAGAAAACGCTCTGTTATTTCACGGATTCAAGTTGAATGCGTCCGTTTCCGGAATCACCATGTCCGGCTTTTGCCCCAGAAGCCCAGCAGAACCAGACACCAGTTGAGTTGAATCAACAGAATGGCGAGACGCTCCACTTCACGATAGAACGAACTGTCGCGAGCATGCCGAACTGTGGCTGCCGACTCATTCCATGTTAAGCTTGCGCGATCACGAGTATGCAGTGCCATGAACTGGTGCGTGCGCACACCTAGACGTGAAAGGCTCTACACACATGCGAGTGTGTTCATGTGTGTGTACGATTAAACCATTAGACTGCATCAATCATCACGTCACTGGCATGGAATGGAATGAAGTTGCCTCTCCTATCAACGATGAGTTATGCATTGACAGCGATCAACTGAAGGAAGGAGCATAAATCAGAGAGTGACAAAGACAGGATAGTGCTAATATACTGAAGCATTTCTATTCATTTGCTTATTTATTAGGCATAGATGTGTCTTTGTCTCTATCTTTGGTTCGCACATGACATACGAAGGATATTGACAAACGTGCGCATGCAACTGATCCAGTAAGCATATACTCTAGACACCTGTTTTACCGACTACCAGTTCAACTTGACTCTCATCTGGTAAGACACGAAGTGGAGAAAAACTGACCGGGACAAATTTTCACGATTGGGTATTTTGCGTTCTAGCATACATTATTGTTCCGGTGCATCGATGCCTGCCCATCTGTTTGGTCCCAGTAGTCCGGCTATAGTGATCGATAATGGAACGGGGATGCTAAAAGCGGGTTATGCCGGAGAGATGGAGCCTCGAGCTGTAGTACCAATGATTCTGGGTCGCCCGAAACATGTTAAACTATTGGTTGATCGTACCAGTGATCAGTGTTTTGTGGGCGATGTGGCCGGTGGGAAACGCGGTGCCCTCACTCTGTCCTATCCAATAGTGAACGGGATTGTACAAAATTGGGATGATTTAGATACCATATGGCATCATGTCTTCACAAATGAACTACGGATTTTGCCTGAAAATCATCCAATCCTGCTCACAGAATCCCCACAGAATCCGAGAACTAATCGTGAAAAAATGGCCGAAATCATGTTTGAAAATTTCAATGTTCCTGCGCTGTACATTTCCATACAAGCGGTACTGTCCTTGTACGCATCTGGCCGCACAACTGGCCTTGTATTGGATTGTGGTGAAGGTGTGACTCATTGGGTTCCGGTGTTTGATGCCTATGTGATACCGAACGCAATTTGCCGACGCAATCTGGCCGGACGTGATGTGACCAATTATCTAAAAGTTCTTCTTACAGAACGTGGATATAAATTTGTCACCACTTGTGAGCATGAAATCGCTCGGGATGTGAAGGAGAACATATGCTATGTGTCTTCGGACTTTGAGAACGAACTGCGTCGATCGTATCATGATCGATCATGCGAAATGAACTATCGCCTTCCTGACGGACAGCTCTTGCGTATCGGGAATGAGCGATTCCGTGCACCTGAATTGATGTTCAAGCCTAAACTGGTTGGACTGGAATTTCCCGGNNCAATGTACAAAGGATTTCCCGAAAGACTGCGCAACGAACTTCATGCTCTTGTGCCAAATAGTGTGAATGTGAAAATTTCTGCCTCTCCTGAACGCAAATATTCCGTGTGGATTGGTGGTGCGGTATTGGCTTCCCTATCCAGTTTCAGTGATATGTGGGTCACAAAGGAGGAATACGATGAGTCTGGTCCAAGTATCATACATCAGAGATGCATTTGAACCAAGTCCAAACACGGCAGATCTCAAAAATACTATCTATGTATGGAATTGTTGATCGGGAGATGAAAGTTGTTTCACAAAGTCAAAAAATCAATTGTGTGTGCACATCATTTGTTTAGTACATGCATTCTCTCTCTCGTTCCTTATCAACCTCTTGGAACGTACGCCTCTATGTATTCCATTGACCCACAGCACAGCAACTCACAAACATATGTTAAAATGTGTATACCTCAACCGCGAATTTGTTTGGAATGAAAAAGTGGAAATTCGAACACATAACTAACTGTATGAATACAACCTGAAACATTCTTTCCAACAAATTTTAAACGACGTTTCCTGTTTCCGCTTTGTTTTTCAGCTTTATTCGGATGTAAAACTGATTGGAATGCTGTGTGTAATGTTTATACCAATAAACTGGTATTAGCTCTTTCCTATTTGATGACAGGCTTGCTTATTTGACATCTTGAATTAAGCCATATAGCGTTGAACCCGATCATATAGATTTCACACAAAAATGTTCAATGTAGGCGGTAGCAAATCTGCATCTTTTGCTGTCAGACCAGCCAATAATTCATACGTGTGATACATAAGAATCAAACGATGAGAACTATTTATAATTTTGTAAAGATTTCGAACTGTGCCTAGCAAAATCCAGCTGAGAACATTCACATTGCCGATATGTTGATAAAGGGATGATAAAACTTCACTCCAACGCACAAATATTCCACTTATGTTGACTTTAGCAATGGCTTAAGCTCCATACTAGATGTGGTAATGTTCACTTGTCGTTGAATGTATCACACGTTAACAGGGTAAGTGTGAGCTCCGATCCTCGATGACAAGTTGGGAGCCCATGAGTTTATGAAAGAATAATGTGAGTAAGGTGAGATGAAAATCGGCAATCATTTCCAAGGAGTTCTTTCACGGTTTATGGTTAAAGTCAGTTAGACGATTTGTTCTGGTTCTACAGCAGTCACTTAGAGTGACAGATGCAAAATATCTGTGCTCATATTCATATTCGTTTCTGCTCATATTAGTTGAATGCTAATAAAGTGTAGGGTTTCTCGATTTTCACTACGGTTGCCAGTGCGTCAGTGGTAAAATAACGAGGGTTCAGTTAAAAAGCATCGTTAGAATTTATTTATAAGAATGACTCACAGGCATGAGACAGGCATGGTGCTCTCATTTTATCAATGTCCTGTTTGGCCTTCAGTATTTTTGAGCACTGAAGGCAGTCGTTTTTGCATGAAGTCCATCAAGTTGACTGCTAAACAGCATTCGCCAGTTACGTCTAGTAACTGTCTGTCCACTGAAGACCACTGTTAAGGTAGCTAGCCTATCCCTGTTTCTAACACGGAAAAGTTTTCGATTACATTCAAATGGACTAGACACTGCACTTGACCCGTGTTGAAACTGCATAAATGCAAATAACCAATATTTACTGAGGTCCAAACGTTTTCTGCCACCTGGTTCGAGTAAGATGCCAAAGTACGCCTTATCTAAGAATGCATTTCTCTAGAGTGATAGGTATCGAAAACTTGTCTTATTAGCGTAACAAATTTCATGCTATCCAGAGTGGCAATTATGGGTGGCCGAAAACAGGGTGTTTAGTATATGATTGGCTCCAACTCATGAGCCGGGATAAAATGAGGCGTTAAAGAATACATTGCATACACAGTGGAATTCAGTCGAATGAATTAATTCAAAATAAGATGCACTTATGCGCCACGGCTGTTCAGTATGTACACATGGCTTGTGTGTTGGGGGTGAAACTAGATACAAAGGACAATCAATAGATAAAATCAGATAACTTCAAAGCTTATGTTTTTCACGAGGACAGCTGACAATCCTATTCAGCCAGTGACACAGACTGTCGTTTTTATTGAGGGTAAGCCATAATAAAAGTTCGTGCTGACTGCGATCAGGGAGGACCAGTTGCACTGCATGCAGCAAGCACATCAAACTAAAAGGACGTGCATAAAAATTACTTTCAAAATTGGTACAGTCATTGTGTTGGCCCGTAGCCTAAGGAGACAGTCACCGAGGAGCCAGACAGGTATTTGGATCCCACAGTCAAGTTTTTCTTTGAACTAACAAACAGTGGGGTTTGAGAAACTATGATTCAGCAAACAGAGCCTTATTCGGTTCAACCTAAAAACGATCGCTTGGCTGTATTTTGTTTTGCCCCTTGGGATCAATTGTGGGCTACACGATAAATGATCTGAGACGTCCCTTTTCGTGTTCGTTTGTCAACTAACGGGGGGGAGGATGCACTGACCAAACTAACACAGTATTCGCATTCTTATGGAAAAGCAGTCACAAATATTCTCTGACAAGTGGACTATTTATCGTCTACGTATTTCACATGAACTAGCATAATTGTGCACTAACAATGCTCCAAATTGATCAGGTATCTTTACACTTCATTGATAGCATAAACAAAACATTGTTTGAATTATAAATCAACACATTGACTCGGAGTATTGTTTGTTATTGTAGTTATACGCGTGGAGCCTAAAGTTTAATTGAAGGTGTATACTGTTTAGTAGATATAATTAAGTCTTGAAACTCGTAAGAAAGTCTTCAACAACCTGTTTTTCTAAACAGGATACGAACCAAAGAGGGTGCTGTTAAATTATGATATGTGTATGCGGAAGGGAACAGAACAATAATGGGATCTAGTTGACGGATGGAAAGCTTTTGAAAACCGTTCAAACTTTGACATGTAGTCAACTGATGTTCACACATACCCGTTGTCAAATCCTCCGGCGGTATTGAAGAGGTCAACCCACGTTGAAGCCGCTTAAAGTCCTTCTTTGAGAAATTAAAAAAACGGGTGAAAAAAATTGATATGGGTGAACATCCTGGTACATGAATTTGAAGATGATAGACTGTTAAATTGAGACATAACGGAATTTACGGATAGAAAGTGAAAGTTTTTTCAGTTTTCTGTTGACATGCTGATTGTGCGAGGTACATTCTCTTCGATAAAATCGAAGGTATTCGACAGTCTACTCGGGTAATGGTACAAAGCTATTTCATACCGAACCAGACGGGAACGAAAACATTCGAAACACTTATAGGATTTAGACACAAGCCGGAATGAGAGGAAAATTGGTAAACTTTGTCCAATTTGTCAGAAAATTGTAAAGGATCAGAAGCATTGACATAAAAACTACATCGTCCCCAACTTGAATCGTGAACGAAGGGTGTTGATTGGCAAGTTGTTGGTTTACTAATCAATAACGGTGGGGAAATGAATGCACCTTGAAGCACCCAGTAATTGTTCACCAATAGTTTGGATTTTCTTTCGACAGCCCGTTGCATTTAGATCTCTCAGAGAAAGAATTAGTAAGCCGAAATAACAATTGTTTGGCACAACTGAAGGCCCCAAGTTAACAAAGAAAGTGGGAGCGAGGAAAATAATCTGACGCAGATATGAAGCAAAAGAGCACAACGAACGGATATCACGTAATCCTTCCAAGACCTAAAAATGGTATGCACATGTGAGAAAATTGCATCTAACCTGCACCTGTTTGGTTTAGAGTCAGACTGAAGAGGATTATACGGAGCGCCAATAGAGGACTGTGTGCTGTTAGGAATAGCAAGTTCTGCTAGTTTAAGAGCAACGGAATGTAAAACTACAAGAGGGAATGGTTTGGCTAGAACATTGGAATCACATTTGAAAATGGGATCAGTTGTTGCTGGTCTCCAGCACTCCGGGATAGGACAGGGATATTGTGGATTGCAGTCGACTGAAACGTTGACCGCGCATAACATAGTTGACTGATGGGCCAATGCGGCATACCACTGCAAGCACATATGGGGACTTACTCGAATTCAAAGTCGATCCGACCCAACTAATCAGATGTCAATATTGATCTGTCCGTAATGATCCGTTTGTTGACGGCCCAGTCTGACGGCATCCAGCTTTTGGTGACCCTTGTACTAGTGTTGGCCTGCTTGCTCAAGCGTTGACATCCTGTTTGCTTACCAGCCTGCAAATCGGCTGCGTGTACCTGTACCCATTGCACATATCCAAACTGAATAATTGACTACGTACTTATTTACATATTTACTTAATTAAAACGGACACAGCAAGGGATTCAAGAATGATACTAATATTTCAGTAAGTTCATAGGCTCCAGATCTCAAAACGTAAGATGGGAGACCATCATAATCAATACTTGCACGTGGTTTTCATAGTAGGCAATGCCTGCAAATTTCATCTTTTGAAACAGCCTCTACTTGACCGGCATTTTTCATAGCGAACAGCGTCATGACTGCGTTGAATCAGCGAACAAAAGCTGAGTAAAAACTATTCGAATCCATTCAGCTATTCATAGGTTTGGATTCTGTCCCACGAAGTACTGTAAGAACTTGTCACATGCGTTCACAGTTAATATAGCGCAGAAACTGGGTGATGTACGACGCAGATAAGCGGTTGACTTCAGCTTTTTCGGTTTGAAATAAAAGCTTGCTTGTCACTGAGTCTTTGGATTTGTAAGACCGCCCTGTTATGATGAAGGATTTCACTAGTGGGAATGCCGTCCTGTCATTACAGACAAACAGAAGTGGTACGAGTGAAAATCACCATTTTTGAGTGAATATCAACTTTCACAGAACTCATCTGTGAAGGATGACCAAGAAAGATTACGACCACCGAAAAGAGCACAATGCAACTCTGACAGTGTAATTTGGAGTTGGTGAACGTTATTGATCACAGATGCACATTCAATAAAACGCTTGATTCAATGATCTGCGGAGTATGCACCGTTTTCATTTGTATTTGGGGAGAGAAGAGCAATAAACTGGCTTCAATTACACCTCTCTTTACCTGTAAGAGTGAGGCATCTGGGAATCCTCGTTACGAAAGCCAGTGTCGAAACAACGGTAAATTGAACAATGTAGTTGGATGTACCCATTGCAATGGAAAACAAAGAAAAATGTTAGCGGTATTACTGATTCGATAAACTTTCGAATAAACGAGAATACACAAC